CTGTTCGGCAGCTTGTTGCGCGTTGCCCGTCTTTCCGAGTTTCAGCGAAATGTTCGCTGGCACCTTGTAAACATTGCTAGAACTCTGAATGATCCGTACTCTACCATTCTGATCCTTACTCCCAAGAGGCATACGGTTCCCTCAACTGGACATGGATAGAAAATAACGCGGGTCGACATCAACAGATGACTTGCATGCTTCGCCTGATCGCCCAAGAAGATCCGACTCCTCAGTATATGACCAACGAACGGCAAATGGTTGATATGTAACTTGGAACAACTTTACAAGCAACCGGTTCTAGGTGATATCCAACTAGGTGACCGAAACACAGGTTAAGCCATCGAAACAACATTAACTTGCGAGAAAAATCTATGTCAGATTTCTTGCCTATCGACACTTTCGCAATCGCAAATAATTTCATATTTTAACACGGAAACAACTTGGGATGTCAAGTAGTTATTACAACCCCATCTCATGCTTTAGAACTCAAGATTCTAACGCTCACTTTATCAAGACTAATATTTGATCATGTTGTATGCATCGCAAAATTGCTTGTACATAACTGATCGTGGCTTTGTTAGTGTAAGGTGTAACCTCGAGAAAATACACCTTTTATTTTATTTTGTGAATTTGCACCGGGCGATCCTTGGGGTTCGGAAAACTATCCGGTGCGGCAGTAAGCGTTGAAATGGGCATGAAAGCCAGTAGGCTACGGGTGGATGAGCATTAAAGATTAAGGTCGGTTGAGCGCAGCATAATGGAACAAAGACCCATAAAGTGGAATTCGATGTAAGCATTTGGTGTTGGTTCTGGGTAAGCTTATTTGTTGAGACTTACGTGTGGACAGGACCATGCTTTGCATTCGTAGAGCATACCCGCTGCAAGGCTGGGTTGTGGAGCGGCTGTACATTAGTGGTCTGAGCACTATGAGGTATGGCCAGATAATTTCGTCGTGACATATACACCTAAGAGTGATATAGCACTCTGCGATATCATGGCACGCGGTCTATCGGTCAAAGAAGACGCCTATTTGACAATGGGTAGCAAGAATGTTATAAAAACAGTCAGATGTCCCGAAGAAATCTATTGGACGTCCGATACAAGGATATTCAAGAACAAAGACCACTGGTGAGGATTTTCGTAGAGACGGAGACCCATCTACGGTGGCCCCGGATGCGTGGTTAAACTCAACATTAGGGAGCAAAACCGGAATCGATGTGGGTCGCGTTCGCACTCCTAGTCTCCAGATGAATCTAGGCCAAGAAATTCTGCACCACAGGTTTATTGTGAGATCTGCGTAAAGTATCGCGAAATGCTGCAGCCGCTGAGACGATATTGTTTCCATTGACAGGCTTTTCCATGAAAATGGATATCTGTAGTAGAAGAACCTACTGCTTATTCTAACACAAGCATTCGGTAAGACCGTCGAATGCGGTCTGGCTCATTATCGTTCTCCCGGAAGAAAAAGTTCATTGAATGCAAATAAGCTGCTGATATCGTTTTTGGATGTATTGCTCCTACTGTTGAGACATCTGTTACTCCTCAGGGTTATGAACAGGTTTGTGCTGAAATCTTCTTCCCGTTGCCACATTCCTAGCAGTTCTATAGGTTTCGGTGTGACCTTCTCTTTTCTTCGGGCTGATAACCTACAACCTTGTTCGAATGCCACTTCTCTACGGGCCGTCAGTGAACAACTCATACCCAAATTTGTCAAATATATGTGGAGTATTTTTATCCCAAAACGTGACTTTGTCTACGCACGCCGACGAAACGTCCTACAAAATTTGTAGGCCAGTTTTTACATCCTCAGAGCTTCATACTTTCAGTATATGGTGCCTTGATTTTTAATGCACTGGCTACGTGCATTCTGTCTCACCGGCTTTATTATTTATATGCTATGCTCTTGGGTCATTACAAAAGAATGCACAATGGATCTACGATGGTTCAGATTATTCCTAGGTGCGATGGATTATCTAGCAGAGGGCTAGTTGATTTTAACTAATAGATACTGACCTGCATTTTCCTCGATCTAGCGAGGTACAGTCCAACTGTACAGTTTGTTCAACAAACAAGCATAAGCCTCTTGTACCAATCTGTCCCCGAATTTTCGAACATTTTTCCACCCGCCGTATGCCACAGAAAACTACCACACCGTGCGTGAACGGCCAAACAGTCTTGCTAATTCAGATTTTGACAGTATAAAAGATAATCAATAAGAGTGAAAATTTAGGCGATACATTAGCTTGGTGTAACCCCATTCAAAAGTGCTGTGCATCTTTTGAACGCAATAAATTAATTGGCATGTTGTGAGCCTTCTGACCCATGGAATGCGCTACATATCATGAGATTTAACTGTGCGTTGACAGGGGCATATAAATAAACCTGCTCAGCTTTATCGGAATAGTGGCAATTCGGTGATTGTACCCAGTCACTGAGTAGGTTGGTGGAATTTTTCTCACCGTCCCACTCAACCTCTTATTTTTCAGTACCTGCAGAGTCTAGACCCAAGGACCACATACGACGAAGGTCTCTGGTGGCTCAACTAGTACGTTCTGCGCATAGATGTCATCAACATAATACCGCTTTCCCCAAAAACTTGCAAATATCAATGCTGTTCCTTCTTCCCTCCAAAAAATGCTTGTTGTTTGTCATTGGGTATCGATCCGACGTCATTCTCTTGACCGAAATGTAAAGTAAGAATTTGGCTGAAGGCCGTTTTGGTGATAAGTGAACATCTTCAAGCAAGAGAACCATCAATGAGAGGGATTGTCTCAATATCTACTGCATGCCGCATTTGAGTGTTCTCACATTAATGAACGGTCAATCCAATCCCCGTAAGGGCATCTATGACCAATTGTAGTTGTGAACAGCGACAAGCTGTCAGCCAGTTTTCTAAATCTTCCACCAAACTCCTTTGCCCTCGAGAATGGAGTGCTTCAATGTGTGCTGAATTATGCTTCAAGTTTCCATTCCGTGTCAGACGTTAAGTGACTATTTGGCGTTACTAGACATTTCATGGCTTGATTGGTAAGGATTGGCATGACCCAGGATCAATGTGGCCTCAGACAGGGCCGCAGTGGATCGGGCCGATCATAGTGGATGATCAACTGGTGCGGTCTAATCAACTCAAATAGATGACATACTAGGGACAACGGGAAATGGCCAGTAACACACAAATCAAAGAAAACGTACATAACTGATTATTTATTTGCTCGATTAAACAAGCGACTGCGCTCATAGTTTACAACTCAACAGTTTCATCCTCCTGTATGTAGACATTCTGTAGAAAGCGTTGGATTGCGTATCGCGATAATAAGAGGTGGACTGAGTTCAGAAGAAAATTTCACAATAAATTCATTTCTTCAGCCACTTGGCAGGTAAAGGAAAAGTTTTGAGGAACGGCTAAATCGTGCAGATGGAAGAGTTTGCTGCGTTGAGGAATCGGAATATGGGCATGGTCGGATAATTACGTTGCTATTTTCCATGGACAGAGGAGTGATCCACCAAGATAGGGAATTATGATTGCGTTTTTGATCACGTTCGGTTACCTAACGAGTCACTCGGAGCCTATACAACCGAATCATTTTGTTATATTCGTCCTCATTTTAGTGTCCTCCACAATTCCACCTAAATCCCACACTCATTCTTCGTTACATCCATCTTCTAGTAACGTCAATGTCTGGAATTCGGGTTCACTCTGTGTAACAATATTAATCGGAATTGAGACCAAAACTTAGGGCTGTATGAAACTCATCACTATGTTCCCTGCACAGTACCCTTTCTTTGGGGGCGCCACTAGATCTGAGCCGTGCGTCACGACAATCACACGTTGGGGGATTAAGTAACTTCTCTAAACTCATGAGCACACATCTTCTTATTCGCGTCATTATTATTAGCCTGCTTTCCTACACTTTGACATCTCTGAGCACTCTTATACAATGACCGCTTGTGTTGCATTATCTAACTCATCGTCTGCGCCAGCGCGGTTTCAGTGAGTTTCGAAACCTGATGATAGAAAGCTTGCACTTCGGCTCTCTTTGTCCAATCTTTATGGTCAGCGTTCGCATTTTACTACGGGTAACACCTCACAGGGGTCTTCACAATGGTCATTAACAAAGTACCATTTAACTCAGTTGTAAATAATGTCTTCTTGGTTCCGCATCTTCACCAAACTTTGCTCACCGACTCCCTAACAGGTGATACCCCAAAATGCTGTCAGAATTGTGGGGCAACCACAGAGAATCCCTGGGCTACGGTAATCAGGTGTTGCAATGGCGAAAGGTGGGTTATTGTTTTCGTCATTAAATTATAGGTGGTTTCATGCCCAATTCGATCAGGCCTCTATGCTTAGGAAATTACTATTTATCTCGTTCTGTTTCAACGACAGTCTCTTGGTCACAAGATAATAGTCATAACTAGAAGAGAAAGAGGTTGTAGCAAGGCATAAAATATGTAGCAGGTTATACCCGACAACCTGGAAATGTCGCGGCAGTGCTTTACTATTTGCATCTTCCGTTGTGTAAGGCGAAGAAAATATAAGTATTTTATACCCACATCCGTTCACCAATTATCAGTCATGCACAAAAGCTGTCTTCTCTTGCCGAGAGATGCACCTAGTTATTTATTTATAATCTGCATCGCAGATGGTACCTTTGTTCCCGCTAGTGTACCTCGTGGACACGACTAAACGTACTAAGCACAAATATACCACACCCATCGGATGTGGAGCAAACGGACAGTAATGAGACAAATGCGCTCACCTACATTCTCTCGTGGTCACGTGAGTAATCCCTTCATCCCTTCCGATTGGCTTCCTGTTGACCAACTAAAGTATGAGCAAGTCAGGCAGTCATTCGGCTGACAGGCTTAAAGCCCGTCCGCTTGAGTGCGACACACGCGATATCCACCCGGCCACGTGTACGTGAGCTACCGGCAGTGAGTAAACAATTAGACGGTAACCGGTGCATGCGTCCTGTCTAAGTGGATCGCTTTGCGCGCGCACACAAGCGCTGGACAGACTGAGCACAGCGGCAATGGGCAGCCGTACGCAGTAGCTTTATGGACTAACGGTCATGGTAAAATTGTACCTTCGCATTCTCATCAATTGAGCGACAAGTCGGAGAGCAGTGGTAAGATGTAATGTTTGACCAGCAAATGCTGATCACCCATTACAATACCCCGTCAATCGTGTTGCTCGCCTTTGTCAAATCGATCACACAAACCTCTGTCTTTTGATCTGTGATAACCGGACGACAAACACAGAGCCACGCCCAAGAGGATGAGTGGGTCTCGCAAAGGTCTAGTCGCTCCACAGAATACATTTCTAGATAAAATTATCCGAAGATGCAATGGTCAATGTGAGTCCCATATATTTGACCTGCCATTATTCAACTAAAATATGCTATGAATAGAAAGAGTTCTGAAATATGTTTACTCAATTATGTATCATTGCGCTGTGTAGCAGTAAGCGATTTTGTTAATGACTGTCACACAAACCTACCCAAGCGATCTGTCAAAATCTACACAACACTCTATAGTTGGATCAAAGGTGAATGTTAGTAATTATTCCTATTATCATCAGGTTATTGTAGATTTGATAACCAGAACTGATTACGTACACAGTTGGTTGAGATTTGTGCTTTTTTCACATGAATGCAATGGATAATATTTCTGACAACGAGCGTAGATCACGCGATACTGATTGGTAAACACTTTTGTGGTTTTTCGGCCAGTACATCTCGTGCAGCACTGTCACCTGTTTTGTACAATCCCTGAGCTTGCTTTCAATCAAAGTTGCTGCTGTGAAATAAGACGCGGAGAGAAGCACTGAAGCGTGCATAAATCTGGAAATCGCTGCATCGGATTTGGCCTAGTGATCCACAGATGAAAATCGCTCTGTCTGGCCATCCGGGATCTCAATTGCCTGCCTACTGAATAGGTAGATGGATGAATGGATTTGCAATACGATTTATTAGTAAGCTAAACTTCGGAATTAGAATTCCCCCTAAATATTAGTCAATCTAATGAACCTATTGTCCCCAACAAACACACTTGATATACCGCTTAGCAAGCTAGCTGGAAATTTACCATAAAACCTAAACTTTAAGCAGCTAAGTTATGACCATATTGCGTGAGGATGAGGATGCCTTTATCTGGCATTCGTAGCTATTAACTAAGCACTTGGTGACCGCGTTTGCTCTAATAGGAAAGGCTGAGACATAAAATGTCTGAGTAGCAAACGCCAAACACCCAAATTCATCTCGGGACGCAGTTAAGACGATAGAATATGACGAATCAAGTAGACAAAATCGTATGACAGCAAATATGCTCGCCAATTATTTACGAGAGGGTTTGCGCATTTGCTAGTTTCTTTCGTTATTTGGCGACGAGAAGCATTAAACATACCATTCAAGTAACGCACGATTCGAGCAACAACTTTATCTCTATAAAGAAAGGTGTAGTCTCACCATTACTGTAAGTCTATGTGGCCGTGCCAACGCCTTCCCTCATTGCACTTCTATGTTCTACTTATGTATTTAAACTATAAAGTAGCAGCGCAAGATGTTTCGTAAGCTTTTCCTAAGTGTTCGGCATGAAGAGGTGCTTTCATCAATACATTTGTCCATTATTTACTTAAATCAGTTAACTGGATCCAATGCAGTCATTATGGCTGAGAACACATAGGTTTGAAATTAATTCTGAGAAAAATAAAAAGTGTTTAGCCCCATTATTTAGTCGTTACTTTTGATCTTTCTATCCTCCTTTGAAAAAAGTAACGAGATAGATATCCAGTTTCTTCCTACTGTGATGGTTTTAAATCTCCTGCGGATAGAAACACCAAACTCGAATCAAGCATTCCAAGTTTCTCTTATAAAGAACTATTCTCTAAGGATTTTCAATCATTCTCATGGCATGCAATTCCTTGTTCGCTGTTTAGCAATGTACGAATAAGTCGAGAAATCGGCCGTCACTTTCTTGTCCCCCAAACCTAGTGAATTCGAAATAAACGAACATATTAGGCGGTACAGTGTAACCAGATTGTGAGGGGCTACTTGCCCTAAGTGTATCAGTTCCACTTGCCGTTCCCACTGGGGAGGAACCCCGCGTCGGTCAAACGATGGGGTGATAAACTAAGCATATGAAAGAAAACTCTTCAACGTTGATCGTTTACAACGTTGCACTTGACGAATGCAAACGAGTACGAATCTCGTCGTGCAGTGTACCATGTGGTAAACGAGCATCACCCAGCTTCTAATTGTTTCGACTAAAGTTCTTGTAACCGAACTGGTAAAGATTCACCTCCAACATGCATATTTGCATTGTGCGTTGCAATTCATTTCACGGCAAGTGTCTCACATGAACTCACAATGTGGCGTGAAAATGCTTGCTGACGAAGCTTGTCAGGTCGTCAGCCTGGGGATTAGTCACAATAGTGTTTGGAAACACTTTCCATCGCGATGTAATCGGTAAATTCCTGGCATTTTACTGTCAATCCTGTGAAACTAGCTCTTTAAGTTCAACCTGGACAGTTTTACCCACCTTTGTCTTGGCAAACTCCTTTCCTCCATTCCATTCCCTCCTCCATTCCTCCTTCCATTCATCTTCCCAACGGCCGTTGCTTTTGGTTGTTATCTGAATGCGAGGGGCCACCTATGGAGGTACCATACTTGGAAAGTCGATTCAATGTCATTTAACGTAGCTGAACTGGATTGAAAGTGCACCACCTTCATGTGAATTAATGAACGGTACTTATGCACATGGCACGTCAGGCCACTTCATTTCTTCTTTTAACCTAGCGGTAAGTAACTATGGACGAACTCTTGGATAACTTTGCCCATAAGCACTGCCATTTCCAAAGGCATACACTTTGGATGTCCGTATGCGACCTTGCTTTCTTGCCAGCAATCCTTGCTCGGAATTTGCCTTACTAGCCAATCATCTTGATAAGTTGGTTCCGAGGCCTGGAAGCCGAAAATCTATCGGTAATTCATGTAATAACACCGTCATTAGTGTTCTCCAAGCCCTTGACTCTTTGTGAGTGGTCTGACGTGTTACACACGCACGGGCTATGCACTGGATGAGTCGGTGCCGTTCGACTTCCACCCCGAGGTCATTAGTTTATGAGGGTAGGAGAAAAGGGTGTAAGACGCAACCCCTAAGTGTTTAGGTAAATTACTTTGGCTTCGTTTGCAAGATTTTTGAAATTCATACCTTGCTCTGTTTGGCACACCGTTAGCTTACCATACTTATTCACTGTGAGCACTATCGGTAGTGGCTGCAATAATTTATCTAAAAATAGTTTTACTTTGGAGTTGGGCATTTTATCCCACCCCGTCCCTAACAGCTTAATAATGCACACACAGATATTGAAGAGGACTGGAGCATATTGTAAAACAGTCATGGCATTTACACAAGGGGACAGCCAGATCGTCACATAACAATACCATGTAGAGAGACATTAAAATTTGAAAGCACAAAATTTGTAGTGTTGGTCTGCTCATTTGCGTTAAATAACACCAAAGATTTGACACTCATTGGCTGATGCAAAGGTGTGGCACACCTAGACTTTAGAAATTCATAGAGCGCAATCCTCGTGGGCTCACATATGACACACAACGCAGGCGACCCACTTTCCATCAGGTCGACTGCGAACAAATCCTTCCCCACAGAGGAAGCAGGGCCATTCATCGGACTTGTACGATGAAGAGGATTGTTTTGACTTCTTCACTTTACTGGCCTTCTTGCCTCCTTGCTGCTGCTGCTGCTGCTGCTGTGATTTTTGTTGTAGTGAGCTTATAAATGGTGATGCTGTTAATACTTCGGCATCTTCAGCTTTGCGGCATCCTTTCTGCTTGCTTGGGATGAGTGCTTTCGGGGTGGCACACAAGTCTTCAATTAGCTGAATTTCCGTCAACACTGATCACGTGGTACTATCAGAAGACCTGGGGTTTTGAACTTCAACTGACCACATAAGCGCAGACCCACCGTAAGCAGATGGCTGAAGATCAAGGCATGTGGTCATATTCTATAGATATCGGAACAAGAGTCAGCGAACAAGCTCGATTTCGGTAGATCTCGTCAAGCTGGTACACCACAACATACGGATAAAATGAGGTAAAACATCAGATGGGAGCAAAGGGTAAAGTTAAATGGTCTTGCTCATCCAAATGACAAGGTCAAGTGCTTGGTTCACAAACGGTGAATGACAAGTCAGTTGCATGTTTCTCAACAGGGTTACTGTTATATGGGGCCAGGGAAGAGAGAGAATCTGAACGAATTGTTTTTGTGCACATAGGTCTGGGTTCTAGATGCAGATGGCGATCGCTTCGGTTGTTGCTAATAAGTGACATCGTACCGCTGGTGTGTAACATCCAGGTACGCGGTAAATTGGATGAAAACATTGACAGCTATCGATCTGGTGGTTAAAATCAACTAGATCTGCCAACACGGCGCTCGTCACTGTTTTTGTTCCTCCTGCAAACAGCCAAGTCGAGCGATGCTCGCGGCTTCTCTCAGCCTCCTGGTAGTTCTTCCGATATAACTTTCTCGACACGAACAAGTAAAGGAGTGTACCCAGAAAGAAATACTTGACTGAGGAAGTCTGTCCTTGAGTTTAAGCCTTACGATTGGAGTTGAAATAAATCTTAACCGTAAGCTTGCCGTGTACTAAATACGGTATATGGCGTCCGATGGCCTTCCAGAGGTTGCCTGCGCTCTTCTATCCCCTTTGAAGGGCAACGACTGATAAACCAATTTCTTTTCAACTGAATCGGTTTTAGCTCTCGATTCTCGGCACTCCATGTTTCTCCGAACAAATTTTTCGGGACAGCTGTTTCTCTCAAAAAGGCCAGCCAAAAATTTAACTCGCCCGGAAACGTCTCCTTACTACATAACCATATAACTAAGTTCCGCTTCTGGCTTAGTGGGACAAAGTTGGCAAAATGTATGTATTGTCCATTCCACGGGGCTTTTCTGTGCACCCTGCGTTGGATCGACCCATATGATCTTCTGCTAATTTGGACGTCTAGGAAAGACATCGTATCATGACGTTCAGATTCCAGGGTGAACTTAGCTTTGTCGTGCGCTGAGTTAAAAAGGGATAAAATTTTCTCTGTGCAGCACTGACTGTCTGTCACATAAAATATGTCGTCTACATATCGACCGTAATAGGGTAATACGCTAATAGCTCCGCTCAGGTAGTTGTTTTCTAATTTGCTCATAAATACTAGAGTTGGGACGCTAACACTACATTCAGCAGAGGCATCGGCTGATGTAAAGTTCACTTGGATGTAGTTGTAGGCAAGGGTACAAGGACGCTTGATGGGCACAAATATCCTGTGGCGCATTAATCTGGGCA